AAGGGTTGTTAAACACTGGCAGGGGCTGCCCAGGGAGGTCTGGACTCCCCATCCCTGATGTTCAGGTCCAAGGAAGGCCTGGCTGTGGCACTGAGTGCTCTGGGCTGGGGGACAAGGTGGGCATTGGGCACAGGCTGAACTCGACCTCAGTGACCCTGTGATTCTGTGGCACAATCCATGGAGTGTCCAAGGGCAGCCCCCAGGCACTCAGGGCCTCCCCTGGCACAGGGAATGGCTGCCATGGCTCTGGGAACCAGCACTGCTGGAATCCCAGGAGTACAGAGCCAGAGCAGACTCCGCTCCCTCCTCCCTGTACCTCCCCCCTTTACCTTCCCTGACCTGCCAAGGACCAACTTCCAGGGATTGAGAAGGATTCTGAGAGCAAACCCCAGTGTTCCCACACCCTTCTTTTGGGGGCTCCCAAACCCCCTCAGCCCCTGCAGAGCATCTCAGAGACACCACCTGAAAAATCACCTTTGTTTTGTCCTCAAGACAAAACACCCATGTGTGGGTGGGAGAACCTGAGCCAGGTCCCCAGAGCCAGGTCCCCAGAGCCAGTCCCAGCTGGGGCTCCCAGGCCAGGGGGTTTTCTCTCCTGGTGTCAGAGGACAGAAACTGTGTGAACAATTTCTCTTGCATTTCTGACACCTTTGCCTTGGGCATGGCCGGGTGCAGGCAGTAAAAAAACAACACTGCACCACTAAAATGGCTGCAGGAGCTGAAGTCAGAACAAAGGTGGATTCCTGCCAGGTGCCAAGGAGGAGTTTTGGCAGGTGGATAAAGTTTTCTCATCTCCTGTGAGCACCCACTGTGATCCAATCAGCAGTGGACAGCAGAGCCTGTTTTCCTCATGTATCCAGTGCAGTGTGAACATGAACCAAGCGTCATGAGCACTGTATAAACTGTCTTTCTTCTAATAAAGCTGACATACTGCCCATCACAATGGGCTGGGAGCATTGTGCTCATGCCTCTCCTTGGAGAGGAGGGACCTGGAGCCACCCTGAGCCCCACGCTGGACACCAAGGTCCAGCAGGGAACAGACTGCAGGCACTTCCAGGGGAGCACTTCCAGGTTATTCCTGGACCCTGTTATTCCCAGGGGAGAGGAGCAGAAAGGCTCAGGGCACTGCTGGTACTCACCTTGATGTTCCTGCCCCCCAGCATGACAGAGTTCATCTGCTCCAGGGCCAGCTGGGCGGCCTCGGGCACCTCGTACTCCACAAAGGCAAAGCCCTGGCACAGGGAGGAGACTGTGAATCACCCCAGGCCCAGTTAATGCAGCCAAGGCTTCCCACAGAGCCCTCCAGGAGACTGTGAATCACCCCAGGCCCAGTTAATGCAGCCAAAACTTCCCACAGAGCTGATCCCCACCTCCTGCTCCTGGCCTGAGAAGGTTCCTCGGAGCGGGTTTTTATTAAGGCAAAAAAAGGGCCTGTAGAGATCCCCCCAAGGGCACCCGACCCCGGAGCCTCCTGGACTCAGAGCCACAGCAAAACCCCACCTCACTCAGGGCTGGGCCTGGGTGGCACCTTCCAGGGAGCTTCTTCCTTCATCAGGAGGAATTCCTTCCTGGAAAGGGCTGGTAAACATTGGAAGGGGCAGCCCAGGGAGGTGGTGGAGTCCCCATCCCTGGAGGTGCCCAAGGAGAGACTGGACGTGGCACTCTGGGCTGGGGACAAGGTGGGCACTGGGCACAGGGTGGATGTGATGACCTGGGAGCTCCTTTCCAACCTCAGGGATCCCGGGGATTCCCTGCACCCCACCCCAGGCTCCCATCCCAGAATCCTGCCCCAAGCAGAGCAGGGGGCTGCAAACATTCACCCCAAGAGCTAAAAGCAGCCTGGGCTCCAGGAGCACAGAGGCCTTTTCCTCTCCTGGCTGCATCAGGAAGGCCTTGGACACGAGAGGACACACATCCCTCGAGGGCTGGGAATCACGGAATCATGGAATGGTTTGGGATGGAGGGACCTTAAAGCCCACCCAGTGCCACCCCCCTGCCACGGGCAGGGACACCTCCCACCAGCCCAGGTGGCTCCAAGCCCCGTCCAACCTGGCCTGGGACACTTCCAGGGATCCAGGGGCAGCCACAGCTTCTCTGGGCAACCTGTGCCAGGGCCTGCCCACCCTCCCAGGGAAGGATTCCTTCCCAAAATCCCCCCCAAAGCTCTGCAAAGCTGGATGTTTTGTGCTTAGGGGCTGAAAGAAATAACCTGGTGGGAACCCCCAGAACGCCTCATCCCCGGGGCATCCCCACAGAGGAACCTGGCAGCCCCTGCCAGGACAGTCCCCAGGCTCTGTGCAGAGCTCCCAAACCCCAGCACGGGGTGTGTGTGTGGGGGGGGAAAAAACCCCCCCAAAAACCCACCCGGCCCCACCCCGTGCAGGGACCGGGAGCGTTCAGGGAACGTCCAGGGAACGTCCAGAGCCCCGTCCCACCTTGTGCTTCATGGTGACCGAGTCCCAGGACATGTCGATGCTCTTGATGGGCCCGAAGGGGGCGAAGGCCTGGCGGATGGTGTCCTCCCCCAGCTCGTAGTAGATGGAGCCCACGTAGACCCGGCACATGATGGCGAGCGCCCGCTGCCTCTGAGCCGCCATCTGTAGCGAGACAAGGACTGCCCGGTCAGGGCGGGGGGCACCGGGACCTCCTGACCCCCCCCTCTGCCCTCCCGGCACCGCCCCGGTACAGCCCTGGCACCGCCCTGGCACAGCCCTGGCACCGCCCTGGCACAGCCCCGGCCGCGCTGCAGCTCGGCCACACCGGGACCAGAAGGGTTTCCCTGCTCGCTGACCAGGGAGCTGGAGTGGATCCGCCCGGCTCGGCCCCGGGGCAGCACTGGGGCAGTCCCAGGACAGCACTGGATCAATCCTGGGGCAGGACTGGGGACAGGACTGGATCAATCCAGCTCAGTCCCGGGGCAGGAGCAGATAAAGCCCAGCTCAGTCCTGGATCAATCCAGCTCAGTCCCAGGGCAGGACTGGATCAATCCAGCTCAGTCCCAGGGCAGGACTGGATCAATCCAGCTCAGTCCCAGGGTAGGACTGGATCAATCCCAGGGCAGGACTGGATCAATCCAGCTCAGTCCTGGATCAATCCCGGAGCAGGACTGGATCAACCCAGGGCAGGACTGGATCAGTCCCAGGACAGGACTGGATCAATCCAGCTCAGTCCCAGATTAATCCAGCTCAGTCTCAGGGCAGGACTGGATCAAGTCCAGCTCACTCCTGGAATAAAGCCCGGCTCAGTCCCGGGGCAGGAGCAGATAAAAGTCCAGCTCAGTCCTGGATCAATCCTGGAGCAGGACTGGATCAATCCAGCTCAGTCCTGGATCAACCCAGCTCAGTCCTGGGGCAGGACCGGATCAACCCAGCTCAGTCCCAGGGCAGGACTGGATCAATCCAGCTCAGTCCCAGATCAATCCAGTTCAGTCCTGGGGCAGGACTGGATCAATCCAGCTCAGTCCCGGATCAATCCTGGAGCAGGAGTGGATCAATCCAGCTCAGTTCTGGATCAACCCAGCTCAGTCCCAGGGCAGGACTGGATCAACCCAGCTCAGTTCCAGATTAACCCAGCTCAGTCCCGGGGCAGGACTGGATCAACCCAGCTCAGTCCTGGATCAACCCAGCTCAGTCCCAGGGCAGTCCTGGATCAATCCAGCTCAGTCCCAGGGCAGGACTGGATCAATCCAGCTCAGTCCTGGATCAATCCAGCTCAGTCCCGGATCAATCCAGCTCAGTCCCGGGTCAGGAGTGGATCAATCCAGCTCAGTCCCAGGGCAGGAGTGGATCAAGTCCAGCTCACTCCCGGAATAAAGCCCGGCTCAGTGCCGGGGCAGGAGCAGCTCAGGCCCGGCTCACACACACCTCCAGCCCCTCTGGTCGGGTCTCCCCCAGCCTGATCCCATCTCCAGCCACGCCTGCAGGAGGAGGGAATCGCTTCCCCTGCCCTTCCCCGGCAGCAAAGGGCTCAGCTCTGGGCTCTGGGCTCAGCCCTCCCGCTCCCCCCCCCCCCCCCGGGGCCCGGATCCCGAACCTCCTCCCCGCGCCCTCCGGCACCACAGGGCCCCCCTCCCACCCCGGCACTCCGAGATCCAGCACTGGGCACCACTCCCACGGCCCCACAGCAAAGCCAGACCCTCCAGCGGCTCAGTGGGGTCCTGGGAAGGGTGTGGTGCCAGTTCCCAGCCCTGCCTGGCAGTGCCTGGCAGCCCCAAGGCCGGGGTGCTGCTCGGAGGGTCTCTGTGCTACCGGCCCCTAAATCTGCCCCGGGTCCCTGCCTGCCAGACAGATCTGCCAGCCCTCAGGGCAGGGACCCCAAAAGCAGAGCACGGGGTGTCCCTCGGGGCTGGCACCCCCCAGGCAGCTCTGGAGATGCTGCTGCTGCTGCTGCCCAGGGATGTGTCCCCAGGGATGTGCCCAGGTCTGGGAATGGGGTCGGATCGGGGCTCTGGATCAGCGACTGCCTGTGTGTGTGGGGATGGCTGTAGGACAGGGGGACACCCCCGGGCAGGGAGGGGCTGTAGGACATGGGGACACCCCCGGGCAGGGAGGGGCTCTGGGACAGGGGGACACCCCCGGGCAGGGAGGGGCTGTGGGACAGGGGGACACCCCCGGGCAGGGAGGGGCTCTGGGGATGCCTCTGGCCCTCCCCGATGGAGCTCAGAGCACCCCCTTCCCTTCCCCACCACCCCTGGGGCAGGGGGGCTGCAAACGGGGACTTCTGGAGGATGATTTTTGGGGTGCCCTAAGGAGCACGGGAGCTCTGCCGTGTCTGGGGACCCCCAGGGCAGAGGGGCTGCACTCAGGGCCTTCAGGAGGACAATTTTGGGGATGCCTCAACGAGCACGGGAGCTCTGCCATGTCTGGGGATCCCTGGATTGGAGGGGCTGCAACCAGGGCCCTCACAAGGCTGATTTTTGGGGGGCTGTAAAGGGCACAGGAGCTCTGCCATGTCTGGGGACCCCCGGGGGCAAAGGGGTTCCAACCAGGGACTTCTCCAGCAGGTTTTTGGGGGGCTGTAAAGGGCACAGAAGCTCTGCCATGTCTGCATTGAAGGGGCTGCAAACAGGGACTTCAGAGGATGATTTCTGGGGTGCCTAAACAACCACAGGAGCTCTGCTGCATCTGGGGAACCCTGGATTGCAGGGGCTGCGCTCAAGGCCCTCTCAAGGAGGATTTTTGGGGTGCCCCGGCCCTGTCTGGGGACTCGGGGGACAGAGGGGCTGCACTCAGGGCCTTCCCAAGGGTGGTTTTTGGGGTGCCCTGCCCTGTCTGAGAACCTCAGGGACAGAGGGGCTGCACTCAGGGTCTTCCCAAGGATGATTTTTGGGGTGCCCTGCCCTGTCTGAGGACTCTGGGGACAGAGGGGCTGCACTCAGGGCCTTCAGGAGGGTGATTTTTGGGGTGCCCTGCCCTGTCTGAGGACCCCAGGGACAGAGGGGCTGCACTCAGGGCACTCAGGAGGAGGATTTTCTGCCCGGGGATGTGCAGCCCGAGGGGAAGGAGAGCTCCCCTGGCACAGTGACCCACAGGACACAGACTGTGCCCGAGGGATCCTGCTCCCCCTGGCACCAGCATTGAACCCACACTCTGCTCCAGGGGTGACATTAAACCCCACACTCTGCTCCAGGGGTGACATTAACCCCACACTCTGCTCCAGGGGTGACATTAACCCCACACTCTGCTCCAGGGGTGACATTAACCCTACAATCTGCTCCAGGGGTGACATTAACCCCACACTCTGCTCCAGGGGTGCCATTAACCCCACACTCTGCTCCTGAGGTGACATTAACCCCACACTCT